CAAAATTCACGGTTCGGTTGTTCGATACTTTGGTGTCACGGTTCGATATTTTTTCGATACAAAAAAATGTTCATGCCTTTTTAATTTGTCATTTATTAAAATTATAAATATATATTTTAACTCAAAAGTACAGTTTTTAAATTTAATGTTGCTGAAACAACAAAGTAATAAAAAAAATAAATCTCTGATCGAGAAATCACTCATCTTTGGAAAAGAGGTTTATTACAGAGAAATGGCTCTTTCCAAAATAAAAGCTATACTATACGCTTCTTCTGGGCTATATTCTCAGCAGCATATTAAACATATCAGGTCCCCATAAGGAGAATCATGTGCTAACGGCTGTCTAAATGACTCGGGTAAAGTTTGTAGCATGCGATGCTTGTTGTTTTTGTCTGCTTCCACTTGTCTTTGCACTAGGATGATGTCGGCGTAAATGTGCAGTCATATTCGTTGTGTTCCCACTAGTGCTGTCAGCGTTAATCTCGTTAAAATGACATTAACGCCATAACGCAGCAAATCTCCGTTAACGAGCTACCGCGGATCGCCCCGTGCGTGGGGCTGGACGGCGTCAACACGTTAACGAGCTAACTGCGCTAACGCACTAGTTCCCACCAATGTAATTGAGCATTGCGTGGCACATCCGACATACTGTTTTACTTTTGTCCATGACGCGCTTACCTTCAGGGTCATACTTCACATGAAAACCAAAATAGTTCCAAACGCCAGATCTGAATGAGGGTGGGGGAGGTTCAATTTGGATGGCAGCATGTTGCAACGAGCTTAGCTTCTGCTTAGCTTGCGCTGCGCTCAGTGGATCTGCGCTCGACAGTGCAGCCTAGGCGGAGTAGTCGAACGCAGATCCACTGAGCTCTCAACACAGACAGCATCGTCAGAAGAAAAGTTGATAAAATAAATTAAAAATTTTGTATTGTTCGATACATATGCGTACCGAACCGAAAGCACTGTATCGAACGGTTCAATATCGATACGAGTATTGTTGCACCCCTAATAGTTACATTTCCACCTCATCGATTACGTTTTCCACGTCATCACCTCTCTCTGACTATCACTAGCAAAGCTGACTCGGACAAGCTAGTTAGCTAGCTAGTTTTAAGCTACAAGCCCGACACAGAACCCAAATTATTCGCCAGAGGTTGCTTTACTACGGTTCGGAGCTGCGGACCTGTTTTATATACGCACGGCAAGGGCGTAGATTTGGCATGGACGGAAGGGACATGTCCCCACCAATATCCAGCGATTATTGAATTGTCCCCACCAATAATTTGATCTCTTCGAGTAAAGAAAAACAAAACCGATAGAAAAAAAAAACGATCTGTCAACGTCTCATTCACCCAGCGGTGCAGAAAGAGTTAAATTACGTTCTCTACTGGAGTCCTATATCATGTGACAAATATGGCCAATGTGATTGGCTGTGCCTTTCAGGGAGCTCTGTTTAGTTTTAGCAGCGGCAATCCTGCGCTGCCAGGACCTGAAGGAGGAGGAGGTGGCAGCAAAAAGAACCTGGATATAAGAAAGTATTTTTCAAAGAAACCTGTAAGTCACTTAAAGTCAAGTTCACTCATAAAACCTGTCCATCATAATAACGTTACAGGCTATGCAAGGCAATACATGCCAACCCTCCCGTTTTTTCTCGGACAATCCCGAATTTATTACTCTTTCTGGGTTGCAAAATAAACTTTTAAAAAAATTTCAGGCGAGAATGTAGCTGTGCAAACTTCAAATATCTGAACCTGGGGAGAACAGCAAACTCCCGGACATCGTTTTAGGCTTTGGCCCGACATCAGTCTAAAATTGTATGTAACCATGAATAACGTGTTGCCATGTCCACCAGGACAGACGTGGTTAGCACTGTTGCCGCACAGCAAGAAGGTCCTGAGTTCAATTCCACATCAGGCCGGGGTCTTTCTGTGTGGAGTTTGCATGTTCTCCCCGTGTTTGCGTGGGTTCACTCCGGGTACTCCGGCTTCCTCCCACCGTCCAAAGACATGCAACTTGTGGGGATAGGTTAATTGGATAATCCAAATTGCCACTAGGTGTGAATGTGCGAGTGAATGTGAGCTGCGAATGGTTGTCTGTCTCCTGTGTGTGCCCTGCGACAGACTGGCGACCTGTCCAGGGTGTACCCCGCCTCTCGCCCTATGACAGCTGGGATAGGCGCCCCCCCGCGACCCTGAAAAGGATAAGCGGAAGCGAATGGAAGGATGGATGTCCACCAGGAGAGACTGGACAGTATAGATGTAAAACAAATATGCCAGCAGTTTATCTCAGTTAATGAGAGGAGAAGGCATGTGTTTGGCTCCTTCACATAGTGGACATTGAGTTGTTGTGTGGGACACCAGTAGTCCATGTCTGATGCTGTAACAGTAGTTCATGTTTAGAGTAAAACATCCCAGCTCACTGACTTGATAGGGTAAATAGTGTGCCTAAAATGTTGCATAATGTTGCTAAGAGATCTGTTACTTTGTGGTAATCTTAGATGAGTAGTTTTATGGACAAAAACACCATGTCATTCAGTGTTCCCTTAGTGCTAATGTATAAGAGATGTTGGTGTAGTATAACTGAAGTAATGTTGTTAAGTCCTTAAAGTCATATTCTTTTATTGTCATGACTGTATTTTAAGCTATTTTTATTTTTGTATGATATCTGATTTATATGGAATATGGTTGAAGTAAACTAAAGTATAAAATACTTAGTCACTCATTTGTTTAATAGTAACTTAACATTATATAATTCGCATATAAAACTATGAATTGTAATTTTAAATGGTTTAAAAGTATGTAGAATAGCATATGTAGGCAAGTATGTTTCTCCTTTTTTTAAAATCAAGAAGCAAAGATGAAAAGGAAAAAAAAGAAACAGGGCAGGGTTTGGTGGTTGAATCATCCGTCCCCACCAATGCCAAAACCAAATCTATGCCCTTGACGCACGGAATAGTTTTCTATACAAGATCGCTGCAAAAAGTGGAGCCTTACCTAATGTCCACTCTACAGGGTGGGCCATTTATTTGGATACACCGTAATAACATGGATATGGTTGGTGATATTAAAGTCCTGTTTGTGGCACATTAGTATATGTAAGAGGGCAAACTCCTCAAGATGGGTGGTGACCATGGTGGCCATTTAGAAGTCGACCATCTTGGATACAACTTTTGTTTTTTTCAATAGGAAGAGGGCCATGTGACACATCAAACTTATTGGTAATGTCACAAGAAAAACAATGGTGTGCTTGGTTTCAACGTAACTTTATTCTTTCATGAGTTATTTACAAGTTTCTGACCACTTATAAAATGTGTTCGATGCCCATTGTGTTGGATTGTCAATGCAACCCTCTTCTCCCACTCTTCACACACTGATAGCAACACCGCAGGAGAGAAATGCCAGCACAGGCATCCAGTATCCGTAGTTTCAGGTGCTGCACATCTTGCATCTTCACACCATAGACAAATGCCTTCAGATGACCCCAAGGATAAAATCTAAGGGGGTCAGATCGGGAGACCTTGGGGGCCATTCAACTGGCCCACGACAACCAATCCACTTTCCAGGAAACTGTTCCATCTAGGAATGCTCGGACCTGGCACCCATAATGTGGTGGTGCACCATCTTGCTGGAAAACCTCAGGGAACGTGCCAGCTTCAGTGCATAAAGAGGGAAACACATCATCATGTAGTAAGTTCAAATATCCAGTGGCCTTGAGGTTTCCATTGATGAAGAATGAACCCACTATCGTTGTACCCCATATACCACACCATCCAATGTGGGTTAGTGTCAGACCAATAGTGGTGGTTTTGTTTGTTAACTTCACCATTCACATAAAAGTTTGGCTCATCACTGAACAAAATCTTCTGCGTGAACTGAGGGTCCTGTTCCAATTTTTGTTTTGCCCATTCTGCAAATTCTGTGCGCCGATCTGGGTCATCCTCGTTGAGATGCTGCAGTAGTTCGAGTTTGTAAGGGTGCCATTTGTGAGTAGCTAATATCTGCCGAAGGGATGTTCGACTAATGCCACTCTCCAGTGACATGTGGCGAGTGCTACGCTGTGGGCTCTTGCTGAATGAAGCTAGGCCAGCCACTGATGTTTCTTCATTAGTGACAGTTTTCTTGCGTCCACATTTTGTCAAATCCAACACTGAACCAGTTTCACGAAACTTAGCAAGCAGTTTGCTAACTGTAGCATGGGAGATGAGTGGTCTCGTAGGGTGTCTTGCATTGAAATCTGCTGCAATGACCCAGTTACTGTGTTCACCAGATATCGACACAATTTCGATCCACTCCTCATGTGTTAACCTCTTCGACATGTCAGTGGTTGTGAACAAAGAGAAACTTGTAAATAACTCATGAAAGAATAAAGTTACGTTGAAACCAAGCACACCATTGCGTTTCTTGTGACATTACCAATAAGTTTGATGTGTCTTCCTATTGAAAAAACAAAAGTTGTATCCAAGATGGCCGACTTCTAAATGGCCACCATGGTCACCACCCATCTTGAGGAGTTTGCCCCCTCACATATACTAATGTGCCACAAACAGGACTTTAATATCACCAACCATTCCCATATTATTATGGTGTATCCATATAAATGGCCCACCCTGTACTGTTACTCTAACATTTAAAAATCTAGTTGGTATTGGTATGGCGAGTAGCCTTAAGTAATAGTAATAAATCACACAGTAATAGTACATTAATGTAGTTATAAAAAGCATGAGAATATATTAAGTAATCCAACGTACTCAGAATATGTTGCTCTCATTGAGTATTGTAAGAGAATACGTTACAAAATGCATTTTGGGGCATGTATTCTTTAATCTGTAGTGGAATACATTTTAAAAGTAACCTTCCCAACACTGTATTATTAATAAATAATGATGACCAAGCAGACCTCAACCAAGTCTAGTACAGTATCACTAAATATTATTTTATTAAATAGTAAGATTTCTTAAAAAGCACTAAATAGTTACAAAGGAAAACAACAGTGGCACTTACTGCTACAACAGCAAATCCAAAGCAGAAGCCAATACTGATCTTGATGTAGCCGTCCATCGATGAAAAGATGAACTCCCCACAGGACTGATGAAGAGGAGGAAAGATGGTAATTATCTGGAAGAAACTGACAAGCAGACAGTATAGCATTTGCATTGACTACTAGCTTGACTGATTGAATACCTTTACATAGATTTGATCTGGGCCTCTTATCCCCTGCAAAAAATGAGAAAAAATTTTTATGAAAATAGAACAAGTCTATTCTCTATTTTCTGATACATATTATAAAATATAAACTACTGTGGGGCATACAATAGGGAGATTAGAAAACAACAGATTTACAAACAAAACACAAAGCCTACTGTTCTAAAATCACTGAATGAATTGTGTTTTAATTTTTGAATGGGCACCTAATGTGTGACAAAAGAATTCACTATAATGCTAATGATAGTTTGGACTCCTACCTGTCTGTGAAAATTGATTTTTAGCCTTGAAAATTATACTGCAACTTTAAAGGCAAAAATCAACTTGGTGTGTGCTAGGCATTGTCCAAGGGCAAAGACCCTGGTGATTCCTGATTCCTAGGAGCCTAGGTCAGCGCATGTGGTTTAGAGATGCCAGCTTGATATAATCGGGCTCACCTCAATGCACGGCCTGGACTTTTGAACCAGTTTCATAGGAGAACGACTGGACTATGTCCCAGTCTGAAATTGCCCTTGGTGAGAGGCAACGAGCTGGGGTGATTATCGTGGTATCCCCTGGCTTGCTACCTTTCATTGGAGTTTTTCCCAGTGGACGAAAGGATTGTTTCCTGCTCCTTTGGATCAGGGATTAGGTCCTGACTGTCATCTGCGTAAACAAAAGTTCAGAGTACCTGACCTTCTTGGAGTCTCTGGGTGGGGTATTTAGGGGGTTCCTGATTCCAACCGTCTCAACAAACACCATGTTCGAACATAATGGAACATAATTCCAACCGTCTCAACAAACACCATGTTCAAACATAATGGTGTCTATAAGTGCACGTGGCACCAGGATACCCAAGGTCCTAGATTGATGATATCCTTATAGTCAAAGACCAGCTGTGGACTGGCCAGGTAGCAATTCTAAGCAGCTGTATCTCCAAGGCTCATTTTACATTCCAGTTCAATTTTAGAAAACCAACCTGAGGTTTTGATGTGCATTCATATCCTCTTGAAGACCAGCATTCACAGGAGTTGGGGATTTGGTCACCCCAGTCCTTAGCACTCACTATTCCACAGCATTTGAACTGTTAACAATTGAGGGAGGGACTTTGATACATGAAAATTATCAAAAAATCCTACACAATTTTTGTTTTTATCATTATGATGAGTATAACATCATTATAACTGCAAAACAATGAAGTCCAGAAAATGGTCAAAGATTTTCTGTATCAGATGCAATTAAGCATTTCTTTGACTGCAAGGGTGAAAATATTTTCTAACTGAAATTTGAAATTTTATGCCATGTGTATGTGCTGGATAGAGATGTGCATCTCTGGGGCCTTGCATTGTTACTGTGAAGTTTAAATCACTTCCTCTAAGTTATATTTCTGCAGCTTGCACAGTAGAATTTATGATTTTCCTATGGACAGACTTCACTTCTGAGACATCAATCTGACCCAGAAACCAAACAGCAGTTTACAGTGGAACAGGAAACTGGTGTTTGGTGACAGTTGAACATGACCAGGAATGTGCTTGTCTTTCTTTTATAATAATGAAGTTGGATAGCGTCAGACTGGCAGCATCAAATTCTTTTGCAGCAATGTGAGGAAACAGAGGAACTCTAAAATGGACTTTAAGCAGCCATGCTATGATGAACCTGCTGACCACCACAACCTTTCTTCAGCATCTGCTCAAATCTACAGATTTGGTTTTTGTGACTTATTTTCTTTCTCAAAAGCTGAAGCGCTCTTATTTTGAAACGGATCCATCGCAGATACCTGAGTGCAACTTGTCAGAGCAGAACTTCCTCAAAGTGATCAGAAATAGCAGCAGCCAGCAGAGATGCAGTTCAGAGATGTTTAAGGAGACAGTCTTAAAGTTGAATTTGGCCAAATTTAAAGTAGTTATGTCTGGGTTTTTTTTTTGTTTTTTTTTAATTTCATGAGACTTTTTGATCACGTCTTGTGTGCTTCTCCAAAATCCACTAGGGGTAGTAGAATGGGTACTCTCATAGAGGTTAATAGTAGAAAGAACATTACAGTTTGCTGTAGCTCTTGAAGAGAGGATCTGACTTCTTGTTTTTTCATGTACGTATACACTTCTTCGCTCGAGGGACTTGTGAAGGCAGCCTTCAACTATGAAGGAAAAATAACACCTTAGCATCGCAATAGACAAATGAGAGAATATATTATCATAAAAATTAACAGAGAAGGATAAAAAGCCCTAATAGGTTTAGAGAAGATTCCTTGCATTAAACTACTTTCTGCTCATGATTACTACCATTGCATTAGCATAGAGGAAGAGTATGCAGGGGTAGGGTTTATAAATGGTAGCTTAGAGACCCAATTATATGTATTGCTGTGGTGGTGGTGATGCAACTTGCTGAGAGATTTTTAGCGTTAATTTTAAGTGTTAATTGGGGTGTAAGTACATATTTGAGCTTGTATGTATGGTTTTGACCCTGTGTGGATTGGAAATGAAATTATTAAATTTAAAAATTAAACATTTAAATTATTAAAAGCTCAAATGTAAAATGGGATTCATGCCCATATAGATAGTACACTACTGTGGGGCATACAATAGGGAGATTAAATTACACAATTAGTGTAGAAAGAGAAAGAGAGACTAATAGGATTAAGTTGAGGAAAACAAAATTGGCATCATCAGATGTGCCAGACAAAGAACAGATGACCTGGTTCCTTCCAACAGCTGTAATGATGCCAAAGATCATCATGGTGATCATTCCAATCCCCATGAAGCCTGCAAACTGTATGTGGAACAATACTTAGAACATTAACCAAATCATCATTTTGTTCTACTTTTGTTCATTGTGAAATTAACAACAAAAAATGAACAGGTATTATTTCCTTGTCTTGTTTGATGTGGATTCTTGTACTTACTATTTTGAGCGCGAGGACTTTCTCAGAGGAGGCAGCATAGATTCCCAAGATGGAGACACAGAGAACACCAATGGCAAACACCAATATCCAGACAAAGCCTGGCATATCAATAGATGACATCTCCTCCAGGAAGATGGGGAAACAACACAAACACAAATAAGCAAAGATTAATTTCTATATTTGTTGGAATTAACAATATCAAAAAAAAAACCTTTAACTCTCCAGTCCACCTCAAACTGCTAGCCATGCTATAATAGGCGATGGCTCACGCATTTCAAAACCTAAACCAGGCCATACCATGACCGACGTGCAACTTGTCAACAGTAGTACTTTTGTCAAAATGAATTGGCATTGTTATGTCAAAGATTGTTTTTATATATATTTTAGCATTGGTTTAGTTAGACCAGTGTTAACAGACACAAGGCTGTGACATATTATAAATATGTTTTGTGGCACAAAGTCATATCTCTGCATTCTCATCATCAGACACTGAATTCTGGGCGTCATTTAATTTAGGTTCTTCTTGATCATAGACACTAGTGGGCGATAATCTACAGTGAAAGAGGGTAAGCCATACACGAAGCTGTGGAACCTCTCTAGGCCAAAAAACAATCCCAGGCATTCTTTCTCAATTTGAGCGTAGCGACACTCACTCTCCGTCATGGACCTGGATGCGTAGGCTATAGGATTCCAGTGCTCATCTTCAGCTTGCAGAAGTACTGCACCAATTCCATCTTTTGAGGCATCAGTTGACAGTTTGATTCTCTTTGAAGAGTCATAGAATGCCAATACAGGTGCAGTTGTCAGCATTCTTTTGAGATGTGCCCACTCACTTTCATGCTTGGCTGTCCACTCGAACTCATGCTCTTTATAGAGAAGCTCAGGAATACAGGATGTGTTTGCTGCCAGGTTAGGAATGAATTTGTCGATGAAGTTCACCATTCCCATTATGCATAACACTACCATCTTGTCAGTGGGTCTTGTCCTCTTTACCTTTTGAGAAGCATTGCTTGGCAAAGTGGTTCTTTCCGTAGCAGATGGAGAATATTTTACCATAGGCAGGACACTTTTTGGGCATGTGCTTCAGGCCACAACACTTGCAGTCCAACATCCTGCTGTCAGGTCGCGGCAGTATGCGTTTCCCTCTCTGACTGGAAACTGCTCCCACAGTAGCGCTGTCACTGGCAGTGGCACCCGTTTCACTGAAACTCTTAACATGCTGTTGTGACATCTCACATGCTTGACAAATCCGTATAGCTCCCTCTAGTGTCAGGTCGGTTTCCCTCAGCAGGTCTCTGACTTTTCTGTCTACCACGCGAAAAACAATCTGGTTGCTGATCATTGTGTCACGTAGCGTAGCAAAGTTGCACATTCGCACTTTGAGTTTCAGGTCCGTTAAAAAGCTGTCAAATGACTCGCATGACTGCTGAATCATTGCTCTTGGGGACTTTAACAAAGCCAATCTGAGCCATGAGCTTCCGAAATACAAGCAGTATATTAAATGCCCGACCAGAGAGGAGAGGACATTAGACCACTGTTACAGCACGATCAGCGGGGCCTATCGCGCGATGCCCCGCGCTTCACTCGGACTTTCTGACCACGTCATGATCCACCTAATCCCCGCATACAGACAGAGGCTGAAGCTCTCCAAACCTGTCGTGAGGACAAAAAAACTGTGGAGCAACGAGGCTGTGGAGGAGCTTCGCACGTGTATGGAGTCTACAGACTGGGACACAATGAAGGCTGCTTCTAACAGCTTGGACGAGTTTACGGACACTGTCACCTCCTATATCCACTTCTGTGAGGA